ATGGCCTTTGCCTGCAACCACAATATACATGTTTTTCCTTATTATTACAGCTATTTTTTCTAGAAGTAATTTATATGCAACTAGACTGTCTTTAAATTTAACAAGAAGTCTATAAGGGGAAAAAACCCATTAAGACACAATACCTCAGTGTGGCAGACTGGCTTCTTTTACATGTGGTAGTGAGACCCAGGCTGACCTGAGGCTGATCAAAGCTGTCGGTGAAAGCTGCCTGCAGCACCACTGACATCTCAGTTTCCTCACAGCTTCCTCAAACCTCATAAAGTGACTGAACTCCAGTGCTGCTGTCTGCAATGGCCTGTACAGATGCCTGACACCAGAGGTGACCCAGGTTTATAATTACAAAGCCAACAGTGACATGTTTTTTCTTGCATCAAAGCTGTGTCCAGTGGGAGTGTTAGATTGGGTGGATAACGTGGCTTCTCCCAGGGTGTAGATGGGAGCTAAGCTTTACCATATCTGATAAAGTGGGTGAGCCTTCAAGCCAAGTATCATTTCTGAGGGTGAGCCAGAGACTTCAGAGACACCTTCAAGAGATCATTCTTTACCCTTGTCCCTACAAACAGAAAAATCCACAGTGTCTTGAAGTGAGCTTGTCCATAATGGAAACTTTTTCCTGATTCTACTTACAGCAGTTTTCCCCTGAAGTTTGAGTTTACATTCTTATTAAACAAGAGGAGTCCCCCTGTGGGTCTCAGCGATGCTGTGTGGCTTTGCACTGTGTATATTTGCATTGTCCTCCAGCAGGTCTGCTTTCTGTCCCTAAAGGTTGCTCCAGGAGTTCTTGCTAACAAGCCCCCATATAAAGAGCAGATGAGCTATACTGTGTCTTTTTGAGTGTTTGCAGCATCTGTCTTGTGATGTGGCTTAGACCCAAGATGCTCCTTTGAAGCAGGCTTTTGCCTCCTTCCTTCATTTCTTGGTGGATGTGTCCACCTCTCTGGCTTTACCAGCCTCACGTGCGAAGGTTTTCAAGGTGCTCGGGGTAGGAGGTACTTTGCTACAGAAAACCATTTATTCTACATTTGCGCTAAATCTGCAGCAATAACAAAAGGAAAACTAGTTTCACAAGTGTATAAGGGAGAGATGGAGACAGATTAGAGCAATCTGTGGTTTTGAAATCTCTCAGAATAAAAGCAAACCACGTTAATACGTTGCTGTGCAAAGATAATGAATGCAAACCACAGCGGAAATTTGTGCCCTACATGTTCCTATTTCCCCCAATTACACACCATACACAACCATCTTCATCACTGCCACGTGGGGTCCTGGTGCTGCTCATACACCTTGTGCTCAGTCCTTGCAGGACCAGATGTGAGTGAGCAGAGATCCTCCCAGGTAAATCCACTGGGTCTCACTCCTAAATCTGGTCCCGTTCCTGATGAAATCTATAAGAACTCGATTCAGTTCTCATGACAACAGGCTCTTGCCCTCTTTGGAGAGGGATCAACCTGGAAAATTTCTAACTCTGTTTTGATTGTGGGCTAAAAATCATTCTTAAGTCACTTTTGAGCCCTGAGGTATTCCTGCCCAATGGAAGGAATATCTACTGCTTCCCACAAAAAAAGAAATAGTATTAAAAATTTTGTACAGCATAAACTTTTCAATTTTTCAGCCAACACTAGTAAATAGCTGTTTTCCCTGAGTTGTGACCTGGGGGATTTCACAGGGTATGCCTTAAGCAAAATTAAATCCTTACCTTTCCTAAATACTTCTGTATCACATTTGGGTCTTTTTCTAGACAGCACTTCCCTAAAATTAAATTCTTTCCTTGGATAACCTTTCCTGTCACTACCAATTCAGCAAAGGGTGTGTTAGCCCATATGGAAATTTTGAAACAGGATCTTGAAATAAACCTGAGTCGAAATTCGCTCAGCATAGAAATGCAGATTTCCAGATTTCTAGATAAGGGTTTGCCGAAGCTGATCTAATTAACTGCCCATCCTGCAGGTCTCACAGAATCCATTTCATCTGTGTAACAAATGCACATCGATTGGTGGCAAACACGTGCTAAAACAAGTTCAATTGCGTTTCGTGTTGTGTGCTTAGTCAATAAGGCATAGGAAAAGTTTGCTCCACACTGGGATATTGCAGTGGCTATTGAAGGACTAGGATGCAGGATTACCTTATGCTACTTAGCAATCAGCATCAACAGCATCCATAACGTGCCTGAAGCTGTTTTAGTCACTTAGCAGGTCCTAAAAAATATTTACCAGGAGGATTTTTATAGTTATTCTGTTGCACTTCACAGGTATAATTCAAAACTGATCTATTAATAACATATAAAATAGAAGCATAAAGCTGTTTCCTATATAAATGTTCCATACTTTGGTTTCCTCCAAGGAGTGAATTTGCCTTTAAAGAACTGAAATGTAAAACATATGTGAGTCATAATTCTCAGCAACGTTATTTTTTACCACCACTTATAAAAAATACACATCTATGGTTTAAAAAAAATATTGCTATATTGTTATAAAAGAAATACTTAAGCCTTCTGAAATATCCTGGCCAACACTTGCCAGAATCCTGACCCAGTGTAATCTTTTATAAATACCTCTCTACAAATGTGCCTCTTCAAGTATCCCCGAGTATGTTATTTAAATCCCAGAGGAACTTTAGAAAGCACATGCAGGAATAGAAATCCTTTTAAATGATGGCCTTTTGTATGGGAAGCTCTCTGAACAGGGAGGTCTGATCCTGCCGCACTGGAAGCTGGCAGGGCTTTTGCAAAAGTTGTACGAGGCATTTGATGGGAGAGAGAAAATTCCACCATTGGTATCTGACTGTGCCCTCGGATATAAGTGCAGCTCTGTCGGCTGTCTGTGGTTTAACGGGAACGGGAGCGAGGGAGTGGGAACAGTCCCATGATGTCTCACGGGAGTAACCTGGAGGCAAATCTGGCCCTCAGTCCATACAAGTGTAAATGCCCACTAGTGTGGCTGAAGCAAAGCAAATTTGATTTATTGCTCATAACAAGATCCTTCAGCACCAGGTCCTGAAAATGCTTAGGCCCAGCTTTGATGTGAGAAGCCCCTTTGATTTCTCGTGCATTTGGGGGATGTGATGTTAAGTGAGTGTATTTAAGCATTATTTATTTTAGTTCTTGCTGCAGGTTCTTTCCTTCAGCCACTACTGCCACTGGGGGAGTTTATCATTTGGATATTACTAGAGATAGGATCTCCTTAAGATTTAAGTTTTATGGGCATGTTAATTGAATTAAAAGATTAATATACAGTGCAAAGGACCAAGGACATAGGCAATTAATCCTGAGAAATAAAACATGGTGGAGTCAGATAGAACCACTACAGGGCAAAAAAAAAAACAAACCAGCACTGAGGGACCTTTGACAAGAAAGGTTGTTTTTTCCCCTGACAACCCTGTCAGCCACGGCTGTCAACAATAAAAAGAAAGAAACAAATAAATTGGAGGCAGTGTGTAAGTCACAGGACCAGAATATAAATACACATGACATGGAAAGGAGTAAATAATACTGATGCTTTCTTTAGAAATGTTCTCGGGCAATACTTCCTATTCATATCCTACTGAAATGACATGAAATAAAACTTTTTGGGGAAAAGTGTTATTAATCACACAGGTTCTTGAGGGAACAGCTCTCTCTGTGTTGAGAATTACTCTTCCTTTGCAGGGTTGCTGTTTTGGGCTTACAGCAGCAATCCAGGCACCAAAAGTTTGGTATTTTGTACATCAGATCGTGAAAGGGATGTGTTTAGCTGTTGCTGTCTAAAAGCACAGCTGTGCATTTTTCACTGCAGGTCAAGCAGTCCCCTATGGCGCTGGAAATCTGGAAGTGCACAGCACATGCAATGAGCAGGTGGGGATGGGGCTGGGACAGAGGCCTGCAGTCCATGGCGTAGCCCCACATGGGTCTGGCCCGAGAGGGCAAATCCCATTGCTCTGGGAGGAAAGCAGAAAGTCTCAAATTAGTAAGTCTTCCAAACTCCCAGAGTAAAATGAAGGAGATAGAAAAATATAGAATCTTGTTGTAGTCACTGAGAATTTAATAGCATTTATAACCAAGATGCTCCTAATATAACAGAATCACAGAATCTGCTGAGGGCCCCAAACAATTGAGTCCAACCCTTTGCCCTGCACAGGCCCATCCCCAAGAGTCACACCATGGCCTGAGAGCGTCATCCAAACCCTCCTGGAGCTCTGTCAGCCTTGGTGCTGTGCCCACTGCCCTGGGGAGCCTGGTCAGTGCCCAACCACCCCCTGGGGAAAGAATCTCTTTCTAATATCCAACCGAAGGCTTCCCTGACACAACCTCAGGTCACTTGACTGGAGTGCTCAGAACAGTAGGGGTATCATGTGTCCCCCCATTTTTAAGCAAATTATATTTATTGGAGTAGCTCCTCAGAGCAGGATCTTCCCTCCTTACCTGGCTGGAAAATGCCTACCTGTGAGCATCTGCTTCTGCAAATAAATCCAGAATTAATAACAAAGACAGCTAAATTAATAATAAAGTGCATAAATACTTTTCCATTACTGTTAACCTTCAGCAATTACTGCCAAGGGCTAAAACACAGTTTCAGATTGCAGGGGAGATAGATGTCTTGTAAGTAAGGTGTCCGCTCTAGGAGAGGGTGAAAACCTCTGCTATAAACTCTGCTGCCTCATATCCAGCAGCAGCTTTGGTTAGTGATTTACAACTTGCACTGGTGACATAAAAACCCTGTCAGCACCCAGAGGTACATAGGGTGGTGCTCTTTGGGCTTGCAAGCTTTCATAAGCCTTTTGCTCTTTTTTGATAGTTAGTTGTACGGACAAAAACTCCACAAACATCCTAGAGGCTATTGCTGGGCTGTGTCTTTGATGACTTTGCTTCCATGCCGCTTCTTGAGTTATGGCCCTGCTACACAGAAAGGTGTTTTGGCTTGGGGGAAAAAAAAAGTATTTTTGTGTTTTGTAGGTTTTTTGGTTTTTTTTTAACCTTGACACATTTTATATCTTTTCCCTTGTAGGTCTGTCTGGTGTCCCTAGTGGGATTTCTTATGCTTTGTATTTCGTACCAACCCGATGAGAAGACATGTGTGCAGTTCACAGTAAAGGTACCTTGACTTTTTCTGAACACTTTTTTTGTTTCTTATGTCATTAAATATAATCAGAACAGTTGGTGCAGGGGATATTTTTAAGACCACAGGAAACGAAGTGAGAATGCACCTGAAATGCAAGAATGGTTTTCTGTTACTTTCCAGGCAGCCAAGGAAGAAACTGTAGCCTATAAAGGGGAAACTCTAATAACAAACATTTCAAATCAGAACAAGATACTATGTTATTTGCCATTTTTAGGAATTTCAAGGAAATTCAGATTCACAGAATTGGATTAATCTGGGAAGTGTTCAGTGAAAGATTGAGAATTTAAGTAGATTAAGTAGAGATAGTGAGCAGAGTAAGAAGTAGTGTGGCATAATATGCATCTACTTAAATCAAGTTTTAATTTTTAATGGGAGAGTACTAGGAAAGCATGGGGACATGCATTCTCCCACAAAGCAAATTCCCATCTGAACATTGCAAGAGAGGTGCAGAAACTATGCACCACACCCCACCTTTGCTTCCAAAACTGCTTTGCTGACGCTGGTAAGCGACTAGAAGAGCAAGGCTGAGAATGCTTGTTTTTAACACCATTTTTTCTGGACTATTTTTCCTTATTAAAGTAATTTTCAAGGCTCTTAATATTTTGCAGACACATAATAACCGAGAAAAATACCGACACAAGCAGCACAAAATAACAGTCATTGTTAGCCGAGAAAGGCAGAAGGAAACAAAATGCAAGGAGCAGCTTTTCCAATCCTGGCACCCATCCTCCCTTACAAATTAGACACCGGTGTGTCTTTTGTGACTCTCTCAAGCTTCTCCCATACTTACATAAAGAAAGGGAGAAGAAGAACAATTGTTTCTGCCCTTTGACTGCCTTTGCATTCTCGCCCGTCACCTTTACACCCCCAAGCTGAGTGTTACGGCTGCCCAGGGAGCTGCTGGGCTGGGCGGGAGCTGCCACACCAGGCTTTTTATTGCTTGCCCTGCGGCATTAAATTGAACTTGGCATCCAGGCAGGAAGGGAGTCATCCCTCGTTTCGGGAACGGCGTGTCAGGCTGGGCAGCCTGGGTGTCTCTGCCACCCTTAGCAACACCGCCCACCCTGACAGGGAGGAGTGTGAGCCATCGCTCCCCCCGTAAGAAAATAAACGTTTTTAAATTGCTCCCCAGGTGATGTAAAAGTGGGCCACTCCTCATGACCTGGCAGAATTAGAGCTAAAATCCCTCTTGAAAGACTTTTGGGTCAGTCAATAGCCCCCCATAGCACCCTCCACCCCAGAATCTCCCTTCCCAGCATCTCCTAATGCAGCATGCCACAGAACTCCTTCATTGTCAGACTGTTCACCTCTCCTGTCCCATGTCTCCTCTGGGAGCTGTTATCCCACAGTGCCTCTCAGGACAAATGGCTTCTGGCTTCAGGGCATTTTAGGTATTTTAACAAGGTAGGAGCTAAAGGTCCGCTCCAGGATTTTGATCACATAGGACTCATCTACATCTCCAGTATCACTTCTCAAATCTTCGAATGTGAGTTAAAAGCTGTCTCTGAACTTAAAAAACAACATTAGCTATTTCTCCTTGGGGGGCCTGATGCTTCATCCAGCACCAAGTTCAGCCCTATCTGCTCTGACTGTCTTTCTAGGGACTTGTTTGCCAGCCCAGGTCCTCACACTGGTGGCTGGTTCCCACCAAAGCTGCATACAGCTGCCAAGCACCATCCTGCAAGGAAATCTTGGCTGGGTTTCCCTGGAGTGCAATAAGCATCCCGAAATCCCAAGGATCACTTGGGAAGAGGATCACACACATACTGGCCTGGGGATTTTAGTCAACCCTCAAGGTGACCCAATGGTCACCTTGCAAGTGACTCCCTTGGGGTGGAACACAGGAGGAGACCTGTGCAGTCCTCTGTGCCTTCCTCTCTCTTGACAGCTGCTTCTTTCATTTCACACTTGCATGAGACCTGGATCCTGTTAAAAGAAAGAGGTCTGAGAACTGCTTTCAGCAGAAGTCCCTTCCTGAGTCTCCTGTGGGTACCCGCGGCACCTCGTGAGGAGGGGAGACCCCCCGCCAAAGGGAGGGTAGATTTGCCCTGCAGGGGGGACAGCAGGCTCACAGAGGAAAATCTGGACACATCCTGTGGACTTCCTGGGCTGTGTGCTAATATCTGCCTGTGGTCCTCATCACAGCATCTGCCACAGTAGCGTGACACCCTCTGCTCCTGCCCACCGAGCCCCACAGCCCATGTCGTGACACACCACGGTTCCTGTTCCCTGCACAGCCTTGTGCCTGAGCCACCACTACCACCTTCAAAAGGAGTCCCCTGATCCACATCTGCAAACCTCCTCCTTCCACCTCTGATAACTGTGAGAAGCCTTTTCCATAAGGAACTCGAGCCATCTTATATTAGTTGTTTCTTTTAGCCATGGAGCAAAACTACTGCCAGTAAATGTTGCTAAAATGTCTCTTCCTCATATGAGGAACCTGAAGAAGGATGAGCTGCCATGCTCTGACCTCATCATACACTGTCTGTGCCTGCTTCCCTTTTCTCCTTCTATTTAAGCAGCAATCACAGTGCCTGTTTCTCTGAGGCTCTGAAAACCAGTTTTCCAGTGGCAAGTTCTGGTTCCTGGGCAGAGCCCACCACGCAGTAGTATTTGTGATGTTGAAGTTGCCTCCAGGTCTGGCATGTGATTAATCTGCTGATGGGATCTCAGCACTCACTGTCTTGTGCTCCCTCACAGGCACTGTTTGCATTTGCTTCACCTTTGATATTTGGAAATGTGTTCATTTTCAGCAGCTCACAGAGAGATTCCTCTGCAAACATCTTGTGAGAATAATAAGCTATTTGGAAATTGCCCTGTGTCCCCCACGCATCTCTGTTTGCCTCTGAGGATTACTGTAAGAGCTGCCTGTGCATTTGGATGCTGAGATTTCCTTCCTTTTGGAAAACAACAGGTAGACTCTCGCTGACTCTACCTGGAACATGGCTTAGGCTGTGGATTCCATACTGTTGTGTCTTGACTTTGGATAGAAGCTGGCAGCTAAATGAAATACCTGCCAAGGGACAATCAGGCACAATCGTGTAGTCTTGGCTTAGTATCTCATTTATTAGGGAGGCCTGATTCTGTCTTCTGCTGGGACGAATCCAGGCACTTCCAGCCAGCCCACTAGGACTTCTACATCACAGAACAACCGACATGTTTGCCCATTTTCTGTTTTCCCCAGCAAACACATTTGCACCATCTTTTAAAATAATGCCATCAGCTTATGAATTGCCACATCTTTGTTTGGAGGGGGTTCCATCAGTCAGTACCACTCCATCTTCTGTGAGCTTTACATGAGGAGGTGGCCTCATTTTCTGGCTTCACCTTTCCCATGGACCTTTGCCTTGAAAGCTGCAGGGGTAAAGTAATTGCATTTAATAAGAGCCACCCTCATTTTGAAGCTGCCCTTGGTTTAAGGCTGCAGGGGAAGTCATTAGATTGAATAGTAGCCAAGTCTTGGAAACTAAGAACTTTCTGTAAGAATTCAGTGATATGAGGAGAAAAATGTATATAGTGCTTCAGGACCTGCAATAAGCCCAAATACTATTTTTTTTTCAAGCTGACAACTGAATAGAAGATTGATTCACACTGTAGATATAAGACAAATACACCAGGAGTGTGAATTTTATCAAGACATACATACTTGGAGCTTCAAGGTCATAAAAAATGCTTTTATATTGATATTTTGCTTGCGGTATTGAGGTTAAGAGAGAGAGAGAGAAGCTGCCGTTTAAAATAACAGATTCCCAACCATGCCATGTGTCTGACAGATAAGACGCCAAGAAAAATAAATGTTTTTACAGTGCTGAACAGAACCAAAAACGCTATTTTGGCTCAACACAGAATATGATTTTAATATACGTTCACACATACTTTGCATGCAGTGCAGCAACTGCCAGTTCCAGCTATCAAAAGCAAGGGAAGTCCATATGTGCTGGTATCCAAAACTCTCAGGTGCATCCCAGAGTGTCAAAGGCTCTGAGTTGCTGCCAATTTCCGTGTGTTTGTGGGGGTGGACTCTGCAGAGCTACTCTTGGTAAAAGCCACCCTATTTTCAAGCTGCCACAGTTGTAAGATGCAGTGGAGGTCACGAGCAGACCCTTGTCCTCCTCACGCTNCTGCCACACCAGGCTTTTTATTGCTTGCCCTGCGGCATTAAATTGAACTTGGCATCCAGGCAGGAAGGGAGTCATCCCTCGTTTCGGGAACGGCGTGTCAGGCTGGGCAGCCTGGGTGTCTCTGCCACCCTTAGCAACACCGCCCACCCTGACAGGGAGGAGTGTGAGCCATCGCTCCCCCCGTAAGAAAATAAACGTTTTTAAATTGCTCCCCAGGTGATGTAAAAGTGGGCCACTCCTCATGACCTGGCAGAATTAGAGCTAAAATCCCTCTTGAAAGACTTTTGGGTCAGTCAATAGCCCCCCATAGCACCCTCCACCCCAGAATCTCCCTTCCCAGCATCTCCTAATGCAGCATGCCACAGAACTCCTTCATTGTCAGACTGTTCACCTCTCCTGTCCCATGTCTCCTCTGGGAGCTGTTATCCCACAGTGCCTCTCAGGACAAATGGCTTCTGGCTTCAGGGCATTTTAGGTATTTTAACAAGGTAGGAGCTAAAGGTCCGCTCCAGGATTTTGATCACATAGGACTCATCTACATCTCCAGTATCACTTCTCAAATCTTCGAATGTGAGTTAAAAGCTGTCTCTGAACTTAAAAAACAACATTAGCTATTTCTCCTTGGGGGCCTGATGCTTCATCCAGCACCAAGTTCAGCCCTATCTGCTCTGACTGTCTTTCTAGGGACTTGTTTGCCAGCCCAGGTCCTCACACTGGTGGCTGGTTCCCACCAAAGCTGCATACAGCTGCCAAGCACCATCCTGCAAGGAAATCTTGGCTGGGTTTCCCTGGAGTGCAATAAGCATCCCGAAATCCCAAGGATCACTTGGGAAGAGGATCACACACATACTGGCCTGGGGATTTTAGTCAACCCTCAAGGTGACCCAATGGTCACCTTGCAAGTGACTCCCTTGGGGTGGAACACAGGAGGAGACCTGTGCAGTCCTCTGTGCCTTCCTCTCTCTTGACAGCTGCTTCTTTCATTTCACACTTGCATGAGACCTGGATCCTGTTAAAAGAAGGAGGTCTGAGAACTGCTTTCAGCAGAAGTCCCTTCCTGAGTCTCCTGTGGGTACCCGCGGCACCTCGTGAGGAGGGGAGACCCCCCGCCAAAGGGAGGGTAGATTTGCCCTGCAGGGGGGACAGCAGGCTCACAGAGGAAAATCTGGACACATCCTGTGGACTTCCTGGGCTGTGTGCTAATATCTGCCTGTGGTCCTCATCACAGCATCTGCCACAGTAGCGTGACACCCTCTGCTCCTGCCCACCGAGCCCCACAGCCCATGTCGTGACACACCACGGTTCCTGTTCCCTGCACAGCCTTGTGCCTGAGCCACCACTACCACCTTCAAAAGGAGTCCCCTGATCCACATCTGCAAACCTCCTCCTTCCACCTCTGATAACTGTGAGAAGCCTTTTCCATAAGGAACTCGAGCCATCTTATATTAGTTGTTTCTTTTAGCCATGGAGCAAAACTACTGCCAGTAAATGTTGCTAAAATGTCTCTTCCTCATATGAGGAACCTGAAGAAGGATGAGCTGCCATGCTCTGACCTCATCATACACTGTCTGTGCCTGCTTCCCTTTTCTCCTTCTATTTAAGCAGCAATCACAGTGCCTGTTTCTCTGAGGCTCTGAAAACCAGTTTTCCAGTGGCAAGTTCTGGTTCCTGGGCAGAGCCCACCACGCAGTAGTATTTGTGATGTTGAAGTTGCCTCCAGGTCTGGCATGTGATTAATCTGCTGATGGGATCTCAGCACTCACTGTCTTGTGCTCCCTCACAGGCACTGTTTGCATTTGCTTCACCTTTGATATTTGGAAATGTGTTCATTTTCAGCAGCTCACAGAGAGATTCCTCTGCAAACATCTTGTGAGAATAATAAGCTATTTGGAAATTGCCCTGTGTCCCCCACGCATCTCTGTTTGCCTCTGAGGATTACTGTAAGAGCTGCCTGTGCATTTGGATGCTGAGATTTCCTTCCTTTTGGAAAACAACAGGTAGACTCTCGCTGACTCTACCTGGAACATGGCTTAGGCTGTGGATTCCATACTGTTGTGTCTTGACTTTGGATAGAAGCTGGCAGCTAAATGAAATACCTGCCAAGGGACAATCAGGCACAATCGTGTAGTCTTGGCTTAGTATCTCATTTATTAGGGAGGCCTGATTCTGTCTTCTGCTGGGACGAATCCAGGCACTTCCAGCCAGCCCACTAGGACTTCTACATCACAGAACAACCGACATGTTTGCCCATTTTCTGTTTTCCCCAGCAAACACATTTGCACCATCTTTTAAAATAATGCCATCAGCTTATGAATTGCCACATCTTTGTTTGGAGGGGGTTCCATCAGTCAGTACCACTCCATCTTCTGTGAGCTTTACATGAGGAGGTGGCCTCATTTTCTGGCTTCACCTTTCCCATGGACCTTTGCCTTGAAAGCTGCAGGGGTAAAGTAATTGCATTTAATAAGAGCCACCCTCATTTTGAAGCTGCCCTTGGTTTAAGGCTGCAGGGGAAGTCATTAGATTGAATAGTAGCCAAGTCTTGGAAACTAAGAACTTTCTGTAAGAATTCAGTGATATGAGGAGAAAAATGTATATAGTGCTTCAGGACCTGCAATAAGCCCAAATACTATTTTTTTTTCAAGCTGACAACTGAATAGAAGATTGATTCACACTGTAGATATAAGACAAATACACCAGGAGTGTGAATTTTATCAAGACATACATACTTGGAGCTTCAAGGTCATAAAAAATGCTTTTATATTGATATTTTGCTTGCGGTATTGAGGTTAAGAGAGAGAGAGAGAAGCTGCCGTTTAAAATAACAGATTCCCAACCATGCCATGTGTCTGACAGATAAGACACCAAGAAAAATAAATGTTTTTACAGTGCTGAACAGAACCAAAAACGCTATTTTGGCTCAACACAGAATATGATTTTAATATACGTTCACACATACTTTGCATGCAGTGCAGCAACTGCCAGTTCCAGCTATCAAAAGCAAGGGAAGTCCATATGTGCTGGTATCCAAAACTCTCAGGTGCATCCCAGAGTGTCAAAGGCTCTGAGTTGCTGCCAATTTCCGTGTGTTTGTGGGGGTGGACTCTGCAGAGCTACTCTTGGTAAAAGCCACCCTATTTTCAAGCTGCCACAGTTGTAAGATGCAGTGGAGGTCACGAGCAGACCCTTGTCCTCCTCACGCTGAAGCAACAGGAAATGAAAGGTGCTCACTGCTCCTTCACGCCTGTGAAAGATTTCTCCACGTTTATGGGGCAACTTTTGGAAGGAGGTTGGGCACAGCACACACTTTCCTGTGGAGATTGGCATTCCTGTTCCACAGCAGGGCCTGGGAAGCAAGCAGGCTGGCTACCTTCACCGGGCCACGAGCGGGAGATTAGCCACCTTGCTTGCCTGATTTGCAAGTATAAATCAGATTTGTTTGGGCATGCAAACCTAGAGACGGGAATAACACATGAGCAAAGTTTCAGAAACACCTACTGCTCAGCACAGCCTGGGATAAGGTGTCAGCCCAAGCCTCAGTCTGCTCAGCTCTGCTTCAAGGCAACTGCACTAATTTATCTCAGCTAATGACTATGAGTCTCGTCAATGCAGGTACAACGGTAGAGGAAGTTGTTCCCTCTCTCTCTCCAGCTTCTGGCTGTATAGAGACACCAATTTCTTGGTCTCAAAATTGTGAGGCAATACTCATATAAAATATACAAGGCATAATTACTAGTTCTTGAGTTGACCTGCTGAACTTGGCATCATAAGCTGTCTTGAAGCATCCAATTTCCAGATAGTCCATTGGATGCATGCATTCCCTGCAAAGTACACGTGCATGCATTCCTTGTGCATCCCTCAGCCTCTGTGCAGCTGGAAAAAGCGCTTTCATCTTCTTGTTTTTCCCTTTCTTTCAGCTGATGTATTTTCTCCTGAGTGCCCTGGGGCTGGTTGCCTGTGTTTTGGCGGTGGCTTTTGCCACACACCACTATCTGCAGATGACAAAATTTACCTGCGACACCGTCCTCGAGTCCTGCCAGTGCAAACTGGACACTGTGGATCCCCTGGGTAGGACCTTCACCTACCAGGATGCAGTTGACTGTGGCAGCCTTACCAGCATGCTCAACCTGTACCTGCTCCTGCAGATGGCCCTCAACCTGGTGGCAGCCCTGGTGTGCCTCCTGACGTGCTTCGTGATGTGGAAACATAGATACCAGGTCTTCTACGTGGGCGTTCGCTTCCACCCTCTGACTGCTGCTGCTGAAGGCCAGAAGCAGCAAGTGTAGGGTCTGGGCTGGCAGGGGGTTGTGACCAGGGAATGGGAGATGTCCATGTGCTGCCATCATGGACATTGCGGATGGATGAGTGTTTGTAAGGCTCCTGACAAGGAAAAACCTTCACGCGGTTTTAATCAATATATTTTTCAATCATTTTAAGAGCATTTCACACTGCTGCTCTGGCAAAAAGGTCTCTTGTGAGATTATGTGAGGTCACGAAGTCCTAAAGATGCAGCTGTACAAATAATCACCAAAGAGGATCTTTAATAGCCATAGATAAAATCATTAGGAACTCATCTGCAGAGCTACAGCCATTACAAAATAGGGTCCATTTCCCTCTTGCCTTCAGAGAAGCTACACCAATTTCCACCAGATAAGGATCTGATCCAAACTGCTTAATTATAACTATGCTGATCATGCTTAGGGAATATATCACATCTTGATGCTCCGGGTGTAATCCACACTAATGTGATGGGAATTTAGCATTCAGAAATGTAATAAGGGAGGTCAAGACCTCTTCAAATGCAGGTTGAAACCAACAGGAAAGTGAATATATTGATGGCTGCCGTATAAAATATACATAAGACTTTTCAGAGTGACTAATTTTATAGGTCACCTAACCCAGTTACTAATAAACAACAATATGGGTGAATTGACTAATGGTGATTGGGTGGGCCCTGCTTGAGACCCCAGATAGATTCCTGAAGTTTGGGAGGAAAGATCAGTTTAAGGAACCTTGAGTTGCACTCCTAAATTGGAGGACCCCAAATCACTAATCATGTTGAAAATTACGTTGACCTTGATGTAATGGCAGGCTCACAAACCCGGATTTTAGCCAGTTCCACCAATTATACTCCAAGCACAAAAGGCCAAATGCATTTTTGGTGTGACTCCTCTGAAGACAATCAGCCTTACACACCAGCAGTGGAGTTGGGCCAACAGCCCTGAGAGACATATTCCTGCAACAATGAATGTTTTTAAAATGGGGTGGAGGGAGGGAAGCAAGAAGAGACTGCCAGTCTCCCAAAGACATCGTCTATAATCATGAGGGCAAAAGAATAATGATTTCTTAATTACTATAGAAAAACAAAGCACCTTGAAACAGTGCTTTTTCACCCTGAAAGTGCAGCTCTAGAAGTGCTTTACTTCTTATTAGCCTTATACCAAGATGACTATATTGGTTTGTCCCTTGAACTGTCATTTCCACTTGCACAGCATGGACGTCTAATTTAGGAGCAATTCTGAATTGGCAGCATTTTGCACTGCCTGCTGATATATGTTCATGCAAGAGCAAGACAGCTGGTGCTCACATCCTGCCATGATTAGGGATTTCCCAATCCTGGCTGGAGCAAGGCTATCTCTGAGGTGGGGTGGAGCAATCACACGCCAGAAAAACTGTGCCATAATCATTAGCAAGGAGAAAGAAAATGAAAATTATATAAAATTTCAAAGGAGAAAAAAACTTTCTGTTTCTGCAGCAAAAATAGCCATCAGGAAGTCGAAAATCCAGTTGTCTGGCAAAACCTATTTGTCTAAGGAGCTCTAATCCTACCCAAAAACTCTCTTCCATACGGTGATCACACATCATCCCAGGGATAGACCACCATACATCCAGGGGCAGAAGATCACAGTGTAAAGTCTCACCTGGAACACTGTTGGATGTGTGGGCTCTAGTTTTTGTCATGGAAAGTGCTTCTAGAATAGACACATCATCACCAAGGTGCTCTCTGCCAGCCTCAAAGCCAGGAGCTTCAGAAGATGAAGGTTTCTGAGATCAGCTTCCAAATGCTCTTTTTTTTATGTGCCTAAAAGTAACAATCACTCATAAGCCTGACTGCAGGGCACGTTTGCAAGGGTGCCTGCACATTGCCACCCATCTGAAGTCCTCAGCCTGACTCCCAGGCATGCTCAGGGCAAGCAGTGGAGCCTGCAGGTGGGTTGGTGATGCAAGACTCGTGTGCCAGCATCGGTGGGGTCATCCACGTGGGATATCACAGGAACCAGCCCATCTACCACAGCTCTGGTGGGACGTGCTGCCAGCACAGCCCTTGTGGACCTGTGCCAGGACCAACCTCCTGTATGAGATGGGTACATAGGGCAGGCTCTCACCTGCTGCTTGTACTCGGGTGTTGGTTTGTCCCCCATCCCTCACACGACTCCAGCCTTGCTCTCTGTGGAAGTGTAGGGCAGAGGATATACCTTCCCACCTACCAACCCTTGGTGCACCTGCCTCTCCCTCCAGCCAAAGATGTGGGTGCTTCTCATCCCAAAGAAGATAACAAGAAAGGGATCAAAGGGAGGCTGAATGACAGCTGAGCTTTGGGGCTCCCTCCCCCCCTCACCACTGTGCACTCTGCCCCGGCATCTGGCAAAGCAAGGGAAAGGCTCTGCTGGCAGAGCAGGGCGTGCTTCCCACCCTTGCCCATCCCAAATGTGCCTTATGTTCACAACACAGCTTGGTGTGCAGCACTGTAGCTGAGGCTGTGCTCAGTGCAGGCTGGCAGCCCAAGCTGTTGTTGCAGACGGCTGGTCAGCCCTGGCCCAGTGGCATTTCCACCAGAGCCGGCCTTTTGTCCCCTTAATCCTTTGACCTCTGTCTCACCCACGTTTTCACTCCCTGTCTCCCACCACCTCCCAGGTGCTGGGCTCCCAGAGAGGCTGGGCTCACCTTTCCTGATCTTTGCCTGCTCACCTCTGGGCTTAAATTTGCTGGGACTGTTCTGGGGCACAGAAGACACCGCGGAGATGATCCCAGAGCCACTGCAAATGCCTTCAGCGGGGGGGTGGGGGAGAGAAGGGAGATGTGGATAAAAGAGGCTGCTCCACTTAACAATCTGTGCACCTCCATATCAGCACTCCCTCCATGGGTTCACTAATCAGCACGATGTAAGTTAACCCTTTGCTCTGGAAGAAAGCAATATTCATCATGTATTCTGTTGGCAGTTTATATGCTTAATGAATAAATGTGGGGCATTTTGATCTAGCAAAGATTAACTTCTTTATTTCCTCTTTATATGTATCCCAAGAGCATAAAATCAAAACAGGAGGAATGGGGACATGGACAAGGGAGCTTTTGGAACTGGTTTTCCCCTAGGTATTGTATTGCAACATATATTTTGCTTGGATCAAATATTTCAGAAAGTATTAATTAAAGGATTTTCACAGCATATCCAGACACCTCCCAGCCTTTTCCTGGTGTCAGAGTCCACATAGACTGCACCAGGAGAAAGACTGGGACTAAAAGGACTTGGAAAGGACAGAGGTGTTGAAGAAGAAAACTTTTTTTTAAGCCTTGGAAATTTATTTTCTAGGTGAATTCCGCAGAAAGGGGTAGGATTAAACCTCTATGGACACACAGAATTTGTGAAGGGCTTGATGTAATTTACTCTCACAAACCCAGGTGTGATTCTCATTTGCACCCTGGCCACTTTACACCATTTTCCCAGTGCAAAGGGGTTGTAAAGATGGCATCAATCATTTTTACACCTACTTTATGGCCATTTTACACAGCTAAAAGGGCCCTTTGTGTAAATGGGAACTCAAGCCCTAGAGAATTTAATAGAGAGGAGATCCTTTCTATAGACTGTGCTAGACCCTCTAATAGGGTCTATTACTGGGATGTAACTCTCTGCTGGATTTCATAGCTTGGCTTAAAGATCCTCAGTCTCGATTAAATTCAGCCCTGCAGAACTTTTCCAAAGGCCACAACCCCCCCGGTGTCACGCCTCCTCCTCCACCCTGAGCACACGCAGAGAGTGATGGTGTCGCATGGATAACTGCTTGCTTTTTTAAAAGGAGAAGCAGCAGCTACCACTCTCCGCTGGCTCTGAGGCGCCTTGGTGTTGTGCTATGCAAATACTGGAGCAACAGTAACGGCAGCGAAAAGGGAACCGAGACGCGGCGCCTCACGCCGAGCCAAAATGTCACATTCTCACCCCGCCAGGGTTTGCTCTCTCTCCCTCCCCTGCTGGCCCTGGAGGGACAGGGGCTGGTGGGCAAAGGGGAAGCGCTGCCGGGTCCTGGCCCCACACTGGGGCCGCCACCAACCCACTGGTGCCACCACGGCCTTCCCGTGAGGCCCATCTGTGCCGTCTGTGCCATCTGCGTCGCGCTGGCCCGGCCACTCCGCGTGGGCACGGCCTGGAGCTCTGCCCAAACAACAACCCTGCTCCAGAGCGCGGGGAACTGCAATCAGCTCGCAGGACTAATTTTTTTCTAGGTTGTGTTTTGGTTGGTTTTTTTTTTCCACGCTACCAGCCAGTGCAGTATTTGCTTTGGGGGGCCTTTCGAAAGAGAAAGCACGCTGGTAGCGTATGAGAGGAGCTGCAGCTCAGGTCCTCTATATTTAGAAAGCCAGGATGTCATACCTCCCCTTGAAATTTTCATAGTTCCCTGCACCCCACCCACCCACACACGTACACATGCTTGCGTCTGGAAAATGTTTTTCGGTCTTAGCGAAGGGTGTTGGCTTAGGGGGATTCGAGGGAGGTGCAGAGGAACAACCGCAGCTCAGTCCCGAAGCTCGAAGCCTCCTTAAGGCTCCGGGTGGCACGGCAGGCACTGGGGACCCGCCGCTCCCTGCCGGGCTCAGGCAGCTGAAGTCGGGGATGTCTCCCGTTGCTGGCCTGTAACATGAATCCCAAGGCTGAGCCAAGCTGTTCTGAGGAGTGTGAGAGCCCTGTCCTGTGTCACATCAGGCAGTGCCGGACCATCAGCCGGCATCTTCCCGAGTTCATCTGCGCACGGACTGTAGCACGTGTAGCTACCTCATCCAAGAAGATGAATTTTGGGCTGGCTCATCTCAGGTTTCTGCAGTTCCTCCTCCCAGTCACCACTCCTGCCTCCTGTAATCACTACTCAATAGCATTTATCCTCTGCTAAATTGCCTCTGTAGTCAATTATAAACAATGATTACATCTGCAAGGACTGGGGTACATTTTACTTTTGGTTTTGGTACTTGGTTTTCATATCTTTGTCCAAGCAAACAGTTGAAAGGCTCACCTAAATTTCCAACTTGTTAGGCGGGGAGCTGGGGATTTTCTTTTTCCTTTCTTTTTAAAGAAGGTACAGGCCATTTAATTTGTTACCACAATGCTTTCCCACTCCATAACTTACCATCTTTACATCAGAGCACAGTCACTAAGGCCAGCTTGCAGTGACTGGCTGCAGAGAGAGTGTGGAGCTGAGACCCACCAAAGTTCACAAGTGACCTCCTGCTTCACCCAGACGCACCCAGGCATTCCTGCCTGGCATGGACACCTGAGATCCAGCCACCAAATGTGAGCAGGAGCCCAGTCTGAGCTGGGAGAATAACCAGTGGTTTGAATACACACCTCTCCTTCAGTCAGATGGATTATGAACGACAAGCACTGGGCTGACCTCAAGTTATGGGAGATGTGGAGAGTGACACTGATTAAGGCAGCCCTTGGCTTCAAGAGCCCTGATTGTCCTGGAAATTAGATGTTTGAGCAAGGCAGGGTTTTTAAAATCCAACCCCACTTCACTCTCCTGTCTGTGTAAAGAGAACTTTTTAATTGGCCCAAAGCCAACTGAAGAGGGATTTTTCCTCACTTCAGTGTGGGATTTCTCTTTTACCAAAGCTGTGATGAGAAGAAGCCTTTCCCTGATCTGTCCTCCCTCGGGCTGGCTGGAACCATCTCCACTGGAGCTGTAGCTCTGCACCCATGCAGAGGGGTGTGAAAGCCACCCTTATGTCTTTTTTTGGGACATTTCCTTCCAGCTCCACAGCTGCCAGTGCTGAGCCAGGGAGGGCAGGGGAAGTTGGTGGCTCAGATCCATAATGCGCCCAAGTCAACCAAGCCCCGCAGCTATTCCTGTTTATATAGACTATACCGGTCACCAGGGATTTGGTGGGATAGTTTAGGGAACAATCACACTGAAAAGAAAAGAAAATAGACATTTACACTTTCCCTTCCACCTTGCAAATCCAGACAGGCAAGCAGCAATCACACATGGGGAACTAAGGGGAGTTGAGGGAAAAACAAAAGCCTCCCATCCCATTTTGCTGCTGACATGCTGAGAAACAGTGAAGCAGTACAGAAAATAAACCACCATAAATCAGGTACCCTAAACACTTTGGGTTTTCATGATCCAAGGTGTTGCTAGGTCAGGAACATGAAAATTAGTATATTTGTTCATAGGGTCCTTCTGACTCGTCCAAGTCTCCTGGACTGCATCAGGTGGGGACCCAGCCAGCCAGGCTTCTTGCTGACACATTTTGCTGTCACCAGAGGAATTAAATTTTGCAACCTGATTGAACTGGGTTATGGGGAAGGGCAGTTTATGTGCTGTATTCGTATATCCATATGTATTTATTTAAGGTTACTGTTTCCAGATTCCACAAAAGGAAATTCTAGGATCTCAGCTGGCGAGTCTTCACTCCTGAATTTACAAGAGTTGCATCTCCACTTAATATTTAAAATACTTTCCTCACTTGCTCCACCCAGGTTTCAGTCATTCTCTTGCTTCTCCATTTTCCAGAGACATGAGGCTTTTCCCGGCACATCCTCCTCCAGCCCTGCAAAAGGCACCAAGTCTGTGGGCTCCATGCAAGCAGTCCCTGCATGTCAAAACACAAAACCTGGTGGCATGTTCCGTGTAACACTCACCTCCTCATGAATTTACTGCAATATCCCACATTTCCAAACCACTTCAAAGCCTTTTGTACTCTTTAAAATCAACCTGCTGGGGGTGTGTCTTCTTCCTCTCACCTCCTCTCTCAAGTATGGGAATGCCATTCACTCCAGCTGGAGCTCTGCTCCTCATTTCTGGACAGTTTCAGGGCCACAAATCCTCACCCTCTGAGGAAAAAAAGGAGGTAGAGTAGAAGAAGAATAAAGATTTTGTTGATTTGTCTTTGTCTGAGCAAGGCACATTTTGCTCTAAGGCTTTTCCACTAAAAGGAATGTGTTGGTTTGGGCTGGTTTGGAGCTTGATGGGGTTTTTCTTTCAGTGACTGTATAAGAACGTGATTCAAGGCCTCTGAAATGGATGAAAAACTTCGTGCTCAGTTCAGTGGTGGATCAGCCCATGTAGGAAATACATTCTCATTTGCTTCTAGCTGTGGGCTAACCAATAATTCCCATCCTTAATAGAAAGTATGATTAGCCCTGCTGCAGCACACTCGAGTCAACACTAGCTATTAAAGAAAGTGGGTTGATTAAGGAACAGCCTCGAAGACTAAAAATAATCAGGGAAATAAGAGTCAATGCCATATGAAAGCAAACACGCAGTCAGTTGTTATCACAGAACTTTTCACGTGATGGTCTGTGCACTGATCTCACCCGAAGTGTGTTTGTTTTGGACAATCTTAAAGAGATTGGCAGCAACACATAAGGACTGATTCAAGAGCACAGGCCTGACCCAAAGCTGATGGAAGTTAATGCATTGACTTCTCCGAGCACACCCCATAGGAATCACTCTGGGTTTGGAAAGATATGTTGCAGTTAAATACATTGGTCTGGGCTTAGGGAAAATGTACTGACATTGTCACTGTCAAATCCATATGGAGGCAAGTGAAAACAGGGGGGTTGCAGCTAATCAGCATAACACAAAATAAAAAT